CTCCATTCTTTTCTCTCTTTCTATTTTAGTTTGGTTAATTTCTAATGATCTATCATCAAGCTCACTAATAATTTCTTCTACTGTGTCCTATGGCATTTTTCATTTGCCACTGTGTTTAGTTCCAGCATTTCTCCTTGATTCTTTCATATAGTGTCCCTCTCTCTGTTAAAATTATCTATCTGATCTTGCATATCACCTATCTTTTTCATTTGAGCCTTTAAAATAATAATTATTTTATATTGTTTGGTTTTTCCAATATCCTTGTGTTATTTAAGGTTGGTTGATGATTACTTTGTCTCTTCAGACTCTGTTTTTTCTTACCTTCTGGTATATCTTACAACTTTTTGTTGAAAGTGAGACATGTTGTATAGAACAGTGAGATACAGAAATCAGTATTTTTAAGCTAGAAAATATTGCTTTCCTATCCTATTGCTATTGCTAGGTCTTTAGTGTGCCAGGTTTGTGCTGATTTAATCAGGATTTAAAGTTTGTGGTCACTGTGATTACCAGAGCTGGCATTTGTTGTTGCTGTGGACATTAGAGATTTCCAGGTCCTCTAATAGTACCTCATTTTGAGGTTGGTTTGGAGTTATATCTTTGTGCTGCTTCCCTAAAATAAACTGTCCCTCCAAACTCTCCTGTGATTTTTACTCAAGACTTGTTAATGTGGCAGGAAGATGAAAGTTTACTGATATTCTAGTCATGCCTCAGGCAGGTTCTATGAACTTGGATGTTGGGGATGAAAGTTTCGTAAGTGTCCCTGCTCCTTCTCCAGGAAAACAGTTAAACAAAGATATTATCTTCCTGCCTGTTCTCATTCACAGCTGCACTGGGCATCCACCAATGTCCTCAAGCAATGGATTTGATATCCTCCTCCCTATAGATCATAGCCTTTTTTACTTAAGAGAGATTGGAGACTTGGGTCTGACTGAAGTATAAGCAGTGGCTGCTGTTCTCCTTCCTTAGCTGGGACCACAGAGGAGGCTTACTCTGGATTTTCCTCCAGTCTTCCCCAAGAGAGACCACTGACTTCACATCTCACAGCCCACATTGAGCCTTCATCAGTTTGTCAAAAATTTCTAGGGTAATCTTCCTATTGGTTTTCACGGTATTCAATGGCATCTATCTCAGTCCATCAAATGCTCAGTGCCTACTTTTCTCTGTAGAAATCTATCCTGTTCCAAATTTTAGGTTAGTTGTTTGACCTCTGACTTCAGTTTTCTAAGAAATTAAAGAAAAAGTATTAGCTTGCAGTTTGTCCAGCTTTCTGTTTTGTTTTATAATGGGAATGTTATCTTTCCAGCTCTCTTTATCTCCAAACTAAAATCTGAAGCTTCCAGAAGCTTTATAAAAGATTAAGAGTTCTTTATGTGTTAAGTTTATTAGCACTTTCTTTTTAAAAGTTTATTTATTTTGGATTAAAATGAGAGTATATATGATTAGGTTATGTTGTTTGTGTTTGTAAAGTTCCAACCGTAGTTGTGACCTTCACCTAGGAAGTCTGCCATATACCTGTACTTTGTTCCCATTAGGTGGTAACTTACCAAAATCCCTCCCTTCTCCCCTTCTTGAATTTAATTGAGGTTTTCTCTCATGTGTGCATGCTGCCCTTTTCATTATTATATACATATTAACAAACGTTTTCTCCCAGTTTCTCTGTTGTCTTCTGATTTATGATTTTTTTTTTTACTCTATCTTGCTTTGCCTTTCCCATAGAAACCCCAATAATGGCATTGGCCAAGCCTGCTCCTACCTGACCACCAGGAATTTCTCCTGTGGCCCTGCATGGCATGGAAATGCAGGGAAACGTCAGTCATAAATTCTTCTCTCATGACCTCTTTTGAGTCATCACTCAGTCACCATAAATTAAGACCAGGGCACAGAACAATTCTATGATTCTATTTAAATAAAAGTTCTAGAAAATGTAAACTAACCAAAGTGACGAAGAAAATCGGTGGTTCCCCTAGGGATGAGATGTGGGCAGAGTGGAACAGGAAGGAGCTCAGGGAAACTCCTGAGTGACGGGTGTGACTGTGTTGGCTATTGTGATAGTTTTGTAGGTAGGGGCATGTGCCAGAACTTATCCTAATGTACAAATTATTTGTGACCAGCTACGGTATGTCAATTATGCATAAACAAAGTTATTTAAAAATTTTTAAATATTGGAGGTAAAAAGTAGAACAGCTTTTATTCAGAGTATATTATCATGTATTATACAAATAAAAATGCAAAGGATTCTACAAGAAAGCTACTGGAACTACCAAATTACTTCATCAAGTTGCAGGTACAAACTCAATATTCAAAATCAACTACACTTCCATACAAAAGCAACAAAAAATGTTTAAATAATACCATTTAGAAAATTTTAAAAAACATTGTTGTGACAAATTAAAAATAATCAACAAAATGAAAATCTATACCATGATCAAGGACTGAAATATTCAATACTGTTAAGATGTCAATTCTATCCACATAACATGTATAAATCCAACATAATTCCAATCAAAATTCCAGGAAGTTTTTTTGAAGAAATTAACAAGCTGATTCTAACATTTACATAGAAATGCAATTTGTAAAAGGAAAAACAAAGTCAAGATTCACTTATAAAGCTAATCAAGACAGTGTGGTCTTGAGTGTAGACATATAGATCAATAGAATAGTAGAGAGTACAGAAATGAATACACACACAATATAGCTAATTTTTCAAAAAATGTGCCAAGATAATTCATGGGGAAAAATAGTTACCACAAAAGAGCACATACAAACTTTTTGGCATTATGGAAATGTTTTGTAACTCCATTGCAGCGATAATTACATAGTTTCATATATTTGCCAAAACTCACAGACCTATATGCTTAAAACCTGTACATTTTATTGCATGTAAGTTGTACCTCAACAAAGCTGACTAAAGTGAAAGAAGTTAGAGTAAGATATGCTCATCAAATATTACTAAGGATTACCATACAAAATATATTAATTATGCCAACAAACCAATAAGAAAGCTATCACCAAATAGGTGATGAATATTTATTACAAGTTAGTCATAAAACAAATTCAAATGCCTCTTAAACATGAGAATATGTTTAACTCCACATGTGGCTCACACCTGTAATCCTAGCACTCTGGGAGGCCGAGATGGGTGGATTGCCTGAGCTCACAGGTTTGAGATCAGCATGAGCCAGAGCAAGACCACATCTCTAAAAATAGCCAGGTATTGTGGTGGGTACCTGTAGTCCCAGTTACTTGGAAAGCTGAGGCAAGAGAATCACTTGAGCCTAAGAGTTTGAGGTTGCTGTGAACTATGACGCCCCAGTACTCTACCAAGGGCAACAAAGTGAGACTCTGTCTCAAAAAAAAAGAAGGAAAATACAAATTAAAACAAAAACCATATCACAGCTATCATAGGAATAAAAATTATAAGGTCTGGTGATTCAAAATCTAATAAGGATATGAGGAAAATTCTCCTTGACAGCAGTATGAGTGCTTCAGAGAGCAATTTAGCAATATCTGGTAAAACTAACAAAGCACATATTCTACAACGCAACAGTTCTATTTCTAGTTACACAGCCTAGAGAACATCTTCATATAGACAGTAGAAAGTTCATACAAGAATGTACAATTTATAACTCCTTATAATAGAAAAACTGGAAATAATTTAACATCCAAAAATAGGAAAATATATAAATAAATTTTGGAATTCATAAAAATAGTTAATATTAAAGAAATAAATGTACATACATATATAGACTTCAAAACTACAACAATGACAAAATAGTTATAAAGTGACACATTCAGTATGAGATCATTTACATGGACTTAAAACACATAAAACAATAGATTGGATGGATACACACAAGTTTACAATAAGAATACTTGCAGAAAGAAGGTGATGGGCAAATTGGACTGGAAACAGAACATAGGTGATTTTAACTGTAGGATATTTAGTTATTTTTAAAAGGCTGATGCAAAAATGATAAAAGATTAACATTTCTTTATTCTAGATGGTTGGTCATAACAAGCGAATATTATTCTCTAAAAGTCTATAATTTTAAATTTTAAACAAAATGAAGAAAATAATTTTTAAAAGCTTTAAAAATGTAGACAAAGGACTAAAAAGCAATGATTTTAATTAACATTCTGGCTTCTGAAAGAACTTTTAACCCCAAAGTAGTATTTTACTATGATGTCAAATTTAACATTTAAGAGTTCACAAACTAAGTTTACTAATATTTTTGTTGTTTAAATTTCTAGAATTGACAGACTACTATTAAAGCCATTCCTTTTTAGACTGCATATTAGAAGATATTCTAGATTTCTAGCTACATGATTAAATAAGTCTTACTTGACTAATGTAACTCCAACGTCACTATCCTGCTCATCACTTTCACTGTTCTATCAAGTAATCATCATACCCACCACTGCAAAGTATCCAAAGACCAACCCCCATTTAGCACTTCCATGACTCTTGGGATTCCATTTGGCTTGTCTACAACCCTGGTTGTTATTTCCATACTAGTTCATGTAAGCACAGTTTCTAAGGTCTTTAAATCTTAAGAGAGGAACATTGCATGCTCTGCTCAGTGATAAGGACACACACAATCAATTAACGTGAAAGATCCCCTCCTTTTATGTTAATATCATTATGCTTACTATTTCTATTTTTTTTTTTTTTTTGAGACAGAGTCTCACTATGTTGCCCTGGGTAGAGTGCCATGGCATCACAGCTCACAGTAACCTCAAATTCTTGGGCTTATGCAGTTCTCTTGCCTCAGCCTCCCAAGTAGCTGGGACTACAGGCACCCTCCACAACGCCTGGGTACTTTTTGGTTGCAGTTGTCATGGTTGATTAGCTGGCCTGGACCAAGTTTGAACCCACCAGTGTTGGTGTATGTGGCCAGTGCCCTACCCACTGAGCTATGGGCACTGCCCTATGCTTACTATTTTTATCTGATAAAAAAGGATCACTCTACAAATAGTATTTGTCTCAAATTACCACTCACCTCTGGATAAAGATGGAAGCGTTTAACTGTATTGATTACAAGGGGATATTCAGTGAGCCTGTCATTCATAATCATCCATAGTCCTTGCAAAAATGAAGGTGCTTCAATAATGGTCTTGAAGTAGGAATAATAAAGCCCCTTTAAGAAAAGACAATCAATGTTTATTAATACTTACAACTCCTTTTAGAACATTTTTTTCCTGAAAAAAGGGAAAAGGTCATAATAAAAGTTCCTAAATACTCCTTGTTATTGCATGCTCGGATTCAGAAAAGCATGTATTTCAGTTTATCACTATACTCTTTCAAGTTCTGTACAGATTTGAAAATTGTCAAACTAAAGAGCTGGAAGAATGATCAAATGTTTTAAGGAGCTTTTCAAATGGTGCCTTAAAATACATGGATGGCATACTTTTAATTTTACCAAATCTGGTTTTACCCCACATTATGAGATGCTTGAAGGCTGGCATCTGATGAATCCTATCATAAACAGGAATGACTTCATGCCTCTGTACAACTTTGCATATATAAAATTACTTCTTTCCCCCAAGCTTTAAGGAATAACATATAATTATCATCAGTATCTTAGGCATAGAACTCCAGCTTTTGTTTTACTTAACAGCTCTATCCACTGGCTTGAACAACTAACTATTATTGTTCACAAATCCTGTGTACTGAAAAGGGGATTCTTTTAGTGTTCTACTCCTGCTATGAAATAATGGCTTCATTAGGATAGCAAATGTGTTGATAAGTTAGAATTTTTTTGTTTAACAGCAGCATATTGTGTCTCATTTCCCTCATCAATTTGTTTTCTTTCCTAAAACCTAAAAATCAATAAAGGCCCACATTGTTTATAATATGTTCACCCCCAAAACATAAAAAATTACCTCTAACCATTCCTGCCTCATCCAACTACTTTATTCTCAATAGATTAAGCAACACTAGGAATCATTAAATTAAGACCTATTTTACCTGATGTCTAAAAGGCCATTTCCTCATAGTTTTGATTGGTAAAATCTAAGTTCATAAAGGATCTTCCTTTGTTTAGGAGGATAACAAGACATTAAAACAAAGGGCAACTAACATGTAAAAGTCTGTATTCAGAGAAATATTAAATATATAAATGTTTTATTAACAACTATTTCTTTGTGCCTGGTACTGTCCCCAGTCATGATCTCCCTATATTTTCACTAAAGCCCTGTAAAGCTGGCATTATTTCTATGTAGCAGATGAGATTACTAAGAATCAGAGAGGCTAACTGACTGGGCATTATACAATGAAGTACAGAACTGCCACCAGTATCCAGTGATCTGTCACCAAAGCCCAGACTCTCCCACAGCTAAAACCTTTATTTAATATTTTATACCTTCTCTTCAGATATGAAAGTTCCCTAAAAAAAGACAAAATATATATTTTACATCTTCCCTTTGGAAATAACACCTTCAAAATATTCAAATACCACACAAATGTTAATGTATCTGTCAAAGTTTTACAGAGGCTATAGAGATAAAAATCAAAAAGCACTGCCTATGGTGTCTAAAATAGGCAAATTCATGACAAGTGGGGGGGGGTTAGGTGTTTAATGCACACAGAATTTTTATTTGGGATAGCAAACCATTTTGGAGATGAACAGTGGTGATGGTTGCACAATCTGAACATACTTAAAGGCACTGAATTGTATACTTAAAAATGTTTAAAATGATAAATTTTATGATAATAGTTATATTTAAATAGGTATCTATTTAGTAGGTATCTATTTCTAGGTATCAAAACCCAGAAAATTAGGAAATTATATCAAAAGTTATCTCTTAAAGGAAATTTTCTTGAAACCAAAAGAGAGCTAAGAAAAAACTTAAAAGAGCCATGTAAAACATGGAATCTCGCGACTCTAGCCAAAGAGACAGCAATTTCTGATAATATTTGATACCCCTGTATCCTTCTTCAGTGCTGTCTTTGTTCTCCTTCATTCTTCAATTATAATTGATCTTTATTATTTTTAAAAGTCTGCATTAGGAAAGGGGGAGAGATAACAAGATAAGCAAAAGAAAAAGAATCTCAACCACTTTTCTATTTAAATCACAAACCTAGATTGTATTAGAAAATAGTGCAGTTCACCAAAAGGTCATTTCCATTCTGAATAGACTCCTACCTTACAGTCTTACTATTCTTAAACCACAAATTAATTTATTAGAAGAAAGAACCTAACCATTTCAGTGCGAAAAGTCATCTCCCGTTCCAAAGATGAGAGGTGGGAAAAATGGCGATCATTTTCAAAAAGTGTTATTAAATGTATCCTAGGGGAAAAAAATGAAGTTTCATATTATAATAAGAATGGGTTTCAAAACCAGTATTGAAATAACTAAGTTATAAATCAGCAAAAAAAGAAAACCATACAAAGGACAAAATAAATTTTTATAATAAATATTGAAGGAATTTTGTAATTTGCTTACTAACTGCTATGTTTTTAGGCATTTAGTGTCTGGTGTAGCACACACCTGAAATTCCTTAATTGTTGGTTTTTAAACTTAATTACATAGCTTAAATTCTTATGAATCTCTCCACCCTTTCTACCACTGCAGGCCTCTAAATCACAGTCAGGTTTTTATTTGTTTTTTAAGTTTCACAGGTGATCCTGATATACCAGGTTTGGGAAATATCTATAAATGTTGAAAAGCACTCAGAATATAATTTTAAATAAAATTCCTTTAGATTTAAGCTTTTTAAGGTAAGTGTAATACCACATAAGGGATTAATTTTAATGTGCCAAAGAACACAAGATGGTACTTGAAGATATTTTAGTGTTGTAACTGCAGGCAGTAAAAAAAAGGAGCATATGTGATGAGCAAAATTGGTTATAGTCAGCAATTATGCGATCCTTAATTTATGTAGTAAGTGCTTTCCAGTATGATTGAAAAATAAAACAAAATTCCACATATCAAACCTGTTTTCCATTAACCCTTCTTTATATGTAGGGCAAAGCTGAATGTTTCCTACCCACTGCAGCCTTAGTTCTAACACCAAAATCTCCCTGCAGACTAAGTGGCCAGAGCAGCACTATCCCAACAGAACAGAATGGGGGCAGATCCCATTTTTCCCAAGGGTAGAAATCCCTTAGCTCTGGTGGAAATGAAAATATTCCACAGTTAAATATTATTTTATACATGACTTATACAAATAGAACGCTTGTAAAATAATGTGCATAGGCATGCACAGGGAAAGGCTCCAGGACATTAGACTCTGTGTTACCACTGAGAATCTTCATTTCCACCTGAATTCCAATTGGCAGGTGTTAATAAAACTTCTAAGCTTTTGTCACTAATGACACAAAGTTACCAAAAAATAAGGAAGTGTTTTAGATGAAATATACATCTAGATATTTAAAGAAATACAATATTTAATTCTTTGTTAAAACAAAAATATTTTAATTCATAAGTTACAATTCACCAAATACATCTATTTTGTGAATGCTGCTTTACATATGAAGCTTGTCAAAAAGTATGTATAAATGGGTATACATGTAGATGTTCTATACACATGGCCAAAAGTTATTTTACTGTTTGCAAACAGTGATAGAAAATTAATCCAAATGTTTTTACTTATTTCCAACAGAAAGTAAATCTTACCAGTGCAAAATTCCCACAAAGGCAGCTGGAAAAAGAAAAATAAAGAAAGTTGTTAAAAGCTGACTTCTTATAAAATGCCTTTACAACAAGTATTTCAAATGCATTCCTTTATATGTTGAGAAAGAGAGCACATAAAGCAAGATAGCCACCTACTTTCACCTATATGAGTATAAGAAAAAAATTCAGACCATAAAGCAAATTGTGAATAGTGCTTACCACTACAGGGAGAACTTGATGAGCAAAGAAGGAGATTAGAAATGTTTCAACATTTCATGTAGGAAATTTGTGAGTGATTAAATTATGGATTATCTTGAACTTTTTGTGATTTTTTTTCAGTATTATTCTCTATTGTCTCAGTCTCTATTTCTTTGCATAGTTTTAAAAAGAAGTAAATATATAGTCTGCTCAGCCAGATTCTTTCAGAAAAGACTCCAGCCAACCAGAGCCACTCTAGACCACGTTCTCTCTTCAGAAGATGGTTAAATACAGGCAATCACTTCCTGACAAAACATTTGAAAGACCCATCATTTGCAAGCTCTTTGTGAACTCTTAGACCTAGGATAAGGTGACCAGACGCCTCGTTTTTGGCAGGACAGTCCCGATTTTTAACAATTTGTCCCGCATCCTGTGGCGTTTTTAAAAAGTCCCAATTTTTGGAAAGAATGCATGACAATAGGTAACGGCAGAACAATGGGAAGGCAATATACGGTTTTTGGCTGCTGAAAGGTTAATGTAACTCCATTTGGGAATGGAGCGGTTAATGTAACTTTATTTGGAAATGAAAAGGCTAATGTAAACTCTCTACTCCCCTCCTAGGCAAAGTCACCAGCAGGTGGACCAGCGCCCTACTCCTTTGAGCCACAGGCTCCGCCCTATACATAATTTTTTTAAATGTATTATGTTTGTAAATTGTACTTATGTTGAAATTAAAAATATATATATTACAATACTATTTTTGTGTTCTATGAAAATTTTTGTTGCTCCATACAGACCAAATTTTTAATTTAGAACACCCCCCCACCCCATGCCCATCAATGGTGTCCGGCTTTACCAATGTTAAAATCTGGTCACCTTAACCTAGGAGCTCCTAGATTGCCCAGGAGACTCCTCTAGAGTCACTGTGCTAATGCCCCATGCACAAGACCTTATTGGTGGAGCTTCAAGACAGGTTAAATAATGACAATGCTCATGGTATGGACCTTTTGGAGAAACTACAAACACAGTCTGTCCGCTCTGGTGGCTGGGAAGTTCCTTGTTTTCAAGGGTGCCATGGAACAGGGCAGAGGAATGAGGACAGAATAACTTAAAACACCACAAACCTTGCTGTTCTTACAAAGATTCCCCAGCCTTCCTTGAATTAATGCTATTCATACTGTTGTAAACCAGAGATGTTCTACATGCAGTCTGTGGGCTACATGCTAATTATCTGACTGTTTTGCTTATCTGTAGCATGGGATATCACAAAAAGCATGCATGGGGCTTCGCCCACCCCCATCAGTTTTTGTTAGTGTGTTAGTGTTTGTGTATTTAATGTGTGGCCCAAGGTAACTCTTATTTTCTAATTTGTAGCAAAGAAAAAAAAATGCTGGACAGCCCTATAAAACCTTTGGTTAATTTCCAAAGTTTTACAAAAGGTGATTTTGATAATTTTCTGAGTATTTTCATTATTGTCATGGATGAGTGAACTCACTTGGCTATACTAGAAGTCCTGCCTCCCCCCTCTAAAATTTTACAAAAGTATTTCTTATGGTTGTCCCAGATATACTAGGCAAGTCATCTTACAAACCACCAACATTAACCTCAGAGAAAATTCAAATCTTACCCAACCTAGGTAACAATATAATGCAAACTAATTCGATAATTATTAAATAAAGAGAAATTTTAAAATTGCAATGTTAAAATTCCCAGTGATGCTTCTCTAGTCCTTTTCCTATTTTACTAACTATCCTGGGCTTATCTTAACTACTTCTCAGAGGATTTACTTGTTTTTTATCAGGATAGGCAAACTATGGCCCATGGTCTGTTTTTGTACAGCCGGCAAACTAAAGATGGTCTTTATATTTTTTAAAGATTGTAAAAATAAAGAGGAAAAAGATGATTAAGAAGATGCGACAGACTGTATATGAGCTTCAAAGCTTAAAATAGTTACTCTCTGGCTCTTTACAGAAAAAAATATACACATATTTGATACACATGTGAACTCTTTTGATCTCATATACTGTAAACCACTTGGAAATTAAATCTCATACTTTTCTCTCAACTGGAAACAGATGCCCCTCTGATAAGGATTCCTTAACTTTAAGATATACAGAGACTATCCTAGACAACTACATGTATATCCTCTTATTCTCCTCATAATTATACCAGCAAAAACTCTCAAAAATTATATTTAAGAAACTTATCAAATATGTTGCCAAATTCATCTAGCTTTTCAAAGATCTTCAAAATTTTTCTGTCTCTCACACTCTCCCCTCACCCCACAATCCACATCTGGGGGGGGGGAAAAAAGATACAGTGTAGGGCGGCTCCTATGGCTCAAAGGAGTAGGGTGCTGGCCCCATATGCCAGAGGTGGCAGGTTCAAACCTAGCCCCAGCCAAAAACTGCAAAAAAAAAAAAAAAAGATACAGTGTAATGATGCCAATATTCTAAATCAATGAAGCACTGAGTTGTGATAGAAAGCATGTTCCCTGAACCCCAGCATCCTATTTCTATTAGTCTCACCACTGAAAGTGACCCAGCCTTATACTGTAGTGAAACTCAGGAGGGAGAAATAAACTGTACACTTCTTGAGTAGCCCTGAAAATGCAGCAGATATCTGCAGAACACAGCCTCCAAAAACTAAAAAAAAAAAAATCCGTACAAGAAACACTAAGCAGAAATAACCTTGAAAGAAACTATGTAACAAACAATAGCACTCTGGTTTCTTGAGAAATATAATAATTCGTTATGATTTTTTTGCCTACTATCTAAAAACTTCCCATGACCTAACATCTATAACTGTAACTCTGTAACTGAAACTGAACTAAAATTGTATAAAAGGGCTTTGTGGGAACAAGTCGGGAGGTGCTCAGTGCTTTAAGGCTGATGGCCTGGTGGACTGGGCCATACAATCCTTGATGAGAGTCTATTCATTTCCATTCACTGGTCCAGCAACACTTCTGGTTCCCTGACTGGGAAGCCAGCAGGAGGATTCCAAGGAGATATTCTGGGGACTTCCCCTTGCGCCCTTGCCAAGTACAGCACCCTATGGGGTTTTCCTGGTGTCCTGACTGATGCCATTCCTTAAGAGCACTCCTGTATTGGTTACAGGGAGGAGCTGTGTCCTTCCTGGTGGTGGTAACTCACCAAAAGGGAAACTAATGAAGGGAGTGAACCAGGGAAGCTGGAGGAAAGCGCTGCACCAGGAAAGACTTAGGTAAGGAGACCCCCTTAAAAAGGGTCTAATACTAGTAAAGTTCACTTCTTTTTTTTTTTTTTTTTTGAGACAGAGTCTCACTATGTCATCCTCTGTAGAGTACTGTTGTGTCACAGCAACCTCAAACTCTTGGGCTTAAGCAATTCTCTTGCCTCAGTCTCCTGAGTAACTGGGACTACCGGTGCTCACTTTGATGCCCAGCTATTTTTTTGTTGCAGTTGTTTAGCTGGCCCGGGCTGGGTTCGACCCACCACCCTCCATGTATGTGACTGGGGCCATAACCACTGTGCTACGTGTGCCAAACCATTAAGTTCACTTCTAAAAGTGGAAAAGGAGATTGGCTGCTTCCTTGAGGTGGAAGCCTGAGCAAAAAGGACAAAAAGGAATTGCCTTCCTTGAGGCAGGAGCCTCTGTAAAAGGGAACAACAGGGATCAGGAGAGGCACAGCCAGGGGGGTTCCCAAGAAATCTTCAAATCCCCCTTTGTTTGTCTGCTTCTCAAGAATGGGTTCCCCACAGCCTAAAGAAACTTCCCTAGGGTTGATGATTCAAAATTTTAAGAAAGGTTTTATAGGGGACTATAGAGTTACTATGAACCCTAAGATGTTAAAAAACAAAACAAAACACTTTATAAGCTAAAATGGCCATCCTTTAGAGTGGGCAGGACATCAGAGGGAAGTCTGGGTATAGGTGTGGTAAAAAAAGAGTATGGAAAATAGTTGCTGGTAGGCCTGGACACCCTGACCAGTTCACATATGTAAAAACTCAGCTGACATTGGTGTTGGAGCCCCCTCCACGGCTGAGAGGAAGGCGGCAGGTAGTCAGTGTCTGGCAGTAGCTGCACCAAGGATTGAGGATAGGCACCTTGCTCGCCCCACTCACCTGCAACTCCTTGTGCCCTTTGACTGGCACAGCACACATGGACAGGCCGGGCAGGCAGGGTGGGGCTTTCCTCGGGGCCCCACAAATAGCTGGGTGGGGAACAGGGCTAGTGACCTCCCTCTCCAGTTCCCTCCTCTCCCACTGGAGGCAGGAAATGGTGAGAAGGAAGGGAAGAAGGTGGCAAGAAAAGGGATCCGCTGGCTGCCATAGATGATAAGATTTTCACCCAAGAGATAGACCAGTGTGCCATCTGCAGGGAAGAAGACCACAGGAAGAACGAATGTCCACCAGCTGCCAATAAGAAAGAAGTAGAAGCTAGCCTCTCCCACCTCTGCCATTTAGTTAAAAAAAAAAAAAGCAAGTGGCCCCAGCACTAGCCCTCTCTGACCTAGCCAAGCCTTTCAACTGTGTATGTGTGTGTGTGCACGCAGGTGTGTATCATAAAGAAACAAAACAGCCAAGAGAAGATCTTCATATCAGGGAGAGACAATCTATCCTAACAATGTACTTTGTCTCCCAGTTGGTCCCAGGTATTTGGCATAAACTCCACAAGCGGAATTCCTAACCTGACCTTAAAGGTCTTTGATAACTAGATGGAGAAAGGGAGAAGGAAGAGAGGAGATGGGGCCAGCAGCAGGCCCTGGTAGCAGAAATAAACTTTTCAAATAGTGGCTAATAGAAAGTTTTCAGAGATAGAGATACCCCAGAGGCTTAGGCAAGAAGACAC